TCGCCAAAAACTTTCCTTGCTCTTTTATCTCTTTCCTCAATAGTTCCTTCTTGCAACTCATCAAACGAATTGTTAAAATTCGCATAACTCGATCCAGGAACCTCACAGTCTTTTTTAAATTCATTAGCGGCCGAATTAGCCCATTCGTAAACGCGCGCATCATTCTCAGGATTATTCCATTTTTGCCCGATATTAATATTAAAAAAGTTATGTCGATGTCCGAATGCTGTATCTTCTCGTTTAACTGTTGCTACTTTTCGTCCATCATGGCATTCAAATGCTATTATTGTTTCTCGAGCATCTGGATGGGCATCAGTGAAAGAAACAAAGCTTTTATAGACATTTAAGACGACAGGATAATTGATTTGAGACAATAATACGGATTTGAATGCTTTACGACCACCATGTGGTGTAAAACTATTACAAAGCGTATTGACAACTGGATATGGCATAAGAGCAACTTGATTTATAAATGGTGAGAGACGAAGAAGCGGCTCGAAACGCTGGAGATATAATTCTTCGGAATCTGAGTTGCTGAATACTACACACATAATGACAGGCTATTCAAATTGTATATTTTATGGTGAGTTATTTATGAAAATTGATAAAATTAAGACTATTAATAACAATACCTACTTTGTATTCAGGAGGAAGACGTCCGATTGCCATCATCACAGTATCATCCTCTCCTCTTCTCCCAAACCAATCATTAAACGCTTCGACAACACTTTCCAATTTCTCTGCTTCAAATCCCAACAAACCTGCATAAACTTGATTTTTTTGGTCATGCGCTTTATAAACGAATTCATACACCACGCCGAAATTACTACAGCCACCACGTATTCCCCAAAATAAATCGGGATTTGAAGTCGAAGAGACATGTTTCACTGAGCCGTCTGCAAGTACTATTGTTGCGCTTACAAGATTGTCAATCATAAGACCATAGCGACCTAGTAACATGTGTGGTGACGAAGATTTTTGTTAACATTAATTTACTTCGTTAAACTTATCATTCACTTACCAGTCAAATATCCAAAACCACCACCAAGAGTCAAACCACCAATGCCAGTATCATCAACGCCGCCACAGACACACGCTAGCCCATGTTGCCATGCTGCATTATCAACATCTTTTCCTAATGCTCCAGCTTGTGCATAGACGAGCTTGTTTTCCGTGTCTACACGTACTTTATTTAATTTCTTCAAGTCGAGAAGAAGACCACCGTTTGTTGAAGATGCACCGGACGTTGAATGACCGCCGGCGCGAATTGCAAGATCAAGATTGTGGGTGCGTACAAAGTTAATCTAAATTTAGAAATTGAATTAAAAGTACGATTACTTATCGCTATCGCTATTCTTCAATTGAGATTTATTGAATTTACATACTGTTTTGACAATGTCGTCTAATTCAGCTACCTGTGTTAAAATATGAATAAGTTAATAGACATTCTTTTTTATCAGATTACGTTAAATACAAGAAAATACCTGGACAATAACGCCAGCCGGTTTAGCTGAATTATCAGCCCACCAAGCCAACGCTTCTTTATACTCTTTTGCTTCTACTTCATCGGTTGCTGTCGCTGATAAAA